TGAAGGTTTAAATCAAATATTATTTGTGACTAATGGCCGGTTTACCCAGGAAGAAGTTGAAGCTTTCAATTTACTTAGCAAAGCTATTTTTGATGATAAAGTAACTAATTATATTACTATTATTTGCACTAACTTTCCCAATTTCGAAAATTATGAATCATGTGAAAGAGATCGTAAAATATTTTGTGAAGAAACTGGAAAATTTTCAGAGAAACTCGTTCATACCGAGATTATCTATGTAGATAATCCACCAGCAAAAGGCCGTTATTTGTCAATTTCAAAAGGATCACGAGAAGAATCTCGCAAAAAATTATTAACACATTTAAAAACTTGTCAAAAAGTTTACCAACCTGAACTACTAACTAAATTTAGTAAAATGATTTCCGAGTTCAATTTAATTATAGATGATACTAAAAAAGCAATTATTAACGTTGATGATTATTTAAACAATAGTAACAAGTATTTAAATGATTTCATTAGTGAACGAGAAAATATAATTGAACTTATTAAAGAATGTAAAGAAATGGTTAAAGGGCATATGAAATCACGATATACTTGGAAAACTATTGGTCATTCCGTTTTGTTCGGTGGTAATGCTTTGATAATCACAGGAATACTGGTACCTCCTGTTCTGGTGCCAGGTATTATTGTATCGGTTACTGCTTGGTTAAGTGTCACTAGTTCCGATTCTAATGCAATTATTAAAGAAAATGAAATATATCAACATTTTGAAAGATTTCTTGCTAATGACAAAGAAAGTCGTAAAGCATTAGAAGATTCACTTATAAAATTAAAAAAAGCTATTGGAAATTTTAAAGAAATTTATTTTCGCTTCGAAAGTTCAGAATGCAAAAAACTGAACATAGACAAAAAGAAATTTGAAGTAGTCAAGAATGTGCTGGATAAAATTTTGGGAGAAAGTGATGTTAATATGAGTTTGGAAGTTGATAATGATATAAGTTTAGAAGATGATGAAGAAACTGAACATTTTTTTAGTAATAAGGTGACAAAAGCTGCTATAGAGGCTTTTTTGAAACTTGTGCTGCCTCCTATGCACCTTTATTGTGTGTTTCGAGATAATAATGAAGTCGAAAGCCGTGCTTCCTTGAAAGATATGAGAAAAACAATTGAAAATTGGAGAAAAGATTTGAAAATTTTAAAAGAAAAAGAGCAACTATTAACTACAATATGTGAAAAAACTAAGTGGTGTAAAGACGAAATGGTAAAACTACAAAATATTGAACAAAAGGTATGTATCACACTCTTGTTTATTAAAAGTAAATTTGTCATACTCTCTTTATGACTAAAGAAAAGGTCATACCAAAGAAGTGTTTTGATTG